GTCGCCTCGCCGAGTGGTTTGGCGAGCTTGACCCAGCTCGCCAAACTCCCTAGTGTGCCATTATCAACCTCAACTTCCAAAATAAAACCCACAGCCCCTGAAAACAAAATCAAACAACACACCCACTCAATTAGGCTCAGACTCATTAGACCCATGCCACCGGGGTACTCATACTTCCCCTGGTTTGGCCAAAATTTGCCATTTGACGACTTTAGCCCTTAAGAATGACGTCAAGCGCTCCATCATTGTGCAAAGCACGTCATTTAGCACAATTTGGGTTACTAAGACTTCACCAAACTAGACTCATCAACAATTAAGCACAACCCACAAGATTACGATCAATATTAAAGGACAAAAATTGGGGAATCAACAATTTAGGCAATAAAGGCAGGATATTGAAATTAAAATCGGCAAATTAGCACATATTTACGATTTCATAGAGGCCCAATAGACATCAATAAGAACTACACAATTGCATTTAAGTTCAGCCACTATTTATGAGTTTGGGGTTTGGAAAACCAACCTTTTATACCGAAATACGATTTGCAATGGTAGGCGGCAAACAGTTCCAATTCTAAACACAAGATCGACCACCAAAAAGTGGTAAAAATCTAGAATATAGGAAATATAGAGCGCGGGTGTGTTTGTGTGAAGTTAAAAAGTGTGGGAATGTGAAAGAGTTCGAAATTTTAAACCTTTGGCTTTTTAAAAACCGTCCAGTTTGTGACCTTCCGGCGATATTAGTCTAGCTCGCTGAACCACTCGGTGAAACGCCGATTGGTTACTTACCTCGATGAGTTTTACAGGACCTCCAGTTAATTTGGAGGTCCAAACGGCAGACAAAGTCGGGCTTGCCAACCTGTTCGGTGAGTCGTCGACTTGACATTTTGCTCGCCAACGTGCAGTTATCTAACACATTCTACACTTCAACCTGCACAATCAACACATGTTCTTCCAAAAAAAAAAGGACAACAAATAAAAACTTTGGTTGCCTCCCAAGAAGCGCCTTACTTAACGTCGTGACACAACGCAAGTCCTCGCTCAAACTTCATTCTTGGGGTTTGCCATAGTATTACTAGGCAACCCCCCTTACTGTCTTGGGTTTAAAAGTAAAGAAATTTGACCCATTTTGGTCTCCAATTGCTTGATAGAGATGGAATGAGATGTAACAGTCTGGTTGAGGGTTGATTCATCTTCCTTCATTTTCTTCAAAACCTTATCAGACCCTTCAACCTTGTTGAGAATACGTGAGAGTATATCCTCAGTCCGGCCACCCTTAGAATATTTCGGCTTTTGACGTTCGTGAGGAGGAACATACCTATCATTTTCCACATCACTTTTATTCCAAGTAGCATTCCGATCATGCCACTCTCTGTCACAATCTCTCCATCCCTCATCTCTATTCCAACCTTGGTTGCCACCCGACATTGGGTAGTTTGCACGATAACCACCTCCTTGGTTGGCTAAGAAGTTTACTTCCTCGTTGTACAATTTTTCAAACTTGGCCTCTTTAGGGTTTACACCACCGACATCTTTACCACTCCTAGTAGCAGCACCCATGACGTTTTTGGCCAAAATAGCCATCTGAGTCATCATCTTTGCCATGTATTGGTCCCTCTCTTGATCTTTTTCAATATGTTCTTTGGTCAATTTAAAAGTGAGAGGGGAACCCTGATCTTCACGGGTGTACCATTGCCAGTTAAATTTGGTCATACCATCCAAGAGTTGGGCTGCAATAATGTGAGGTTGTTGCATTAAACCTACCGAAGAAAGTTGATCTGCCACACCCTTGTTCACCGAATCAAGGCATCGATAAAAGTATTGCAGAAAAATGTTATCGGGCAATCCATGAGTTGGGCATTGGAGCACCACCTTCTTAAATCTTAGCCAAGTCTCATGGATTGGGTCACCCTCCAAACGCTTAAAGCTTTGGATGTTGTCCCGAAGATTCATCATCTTCGAAGGTGGGAAAAATCACACTTGGAATGCAGTGACAAGCTCTTCCCATGAAGTAACAGAATCTCTTAGCAACTCCGCCAACCACTTACATGATTCTCCCATTAGAGAAAATGGGAATAACCTCAATTGGACAGACTTTTGAGATATGTTTTTAAAGGAGAATGGTCTAAAAACATCGACAAAGTTCTTTATATGCTCATGGGGATCCTCATAAGCCAACCCACCGAACAACCCATTCAATTGCAAGAGCTGCAACATGGTGCTTATAATGTGGAACACAACCTTCCCTTCAGCTGGGGGTAAGAAAATGGCACCAACTCCACCCATAAGATTTGGGTCATTGACATTTGGTTCGTTGACATCATTGAGATTTCTGATGTCATCTTGGTGGCCCACTTGTCTACCATTGCTTCCATTGACACTCATTTCCTCTGTTTCAAATAGAAAAAAAAAAAACTAAAAATAAGTAGATTCAACTATGACAAACAAGAACAAAATTCAACTTCACCAAAAGAATTTCAAACAACACAACTCCCCGGCAACGACGCCATTTTGATTAACATTTCAAGGAAACTTCATCCAATTCTAAGAGTCAACGATCGCTAGTCAGTATAAAACTGAACTAAATGAGTTATGGTCGAATCTCACAGGGAGTGGTAAGTGTTTCAGATTCAATTGGGACGTATGAACATATTCAAATCAATAATACGAATAAAAGTTATCGAATAAATATATCATTCCAGTTAAGGGGTGACACAAATGTAAAATGGGGGGGGGGGTTAATTATCAACTACAAACAGTCAGAACGAATAAAACTTATCAATAATGAGACGGGTTCCTGGAATGTGATCGATTAAAGGCTAATATAGACAAGTAGGTAATTGCAACTATTAGTAATTAGCTAGATATTAGTGAGTATGCTAGGCTATAGCGGAGGTAAACTTTCTCTCAAACAATTTAACCCGAATCAAGTTGATTTCTCTCGAACATCAACAAGCATGCAAAATAAGAACAACCCACACCTTAGTCTATTAACTCTGTTAAGCTGAATGTGTGGGATTGGGTTAAGGATTATCTCTCTCGAGTTGAACCCAGGTCAACCCAATACCCACTAACCATCAACCAATAAATTTGGTTTTAAAACCTCTCTCTCGAGCATGCCAAAAACACAAACCTTGAACTGCATTTTCAACTACAATTCCTATATTAAACCACTATTAATAATTAAACTCACTTCTAAATATCATTTAAACTAACAATTAGCAATACCCATAAACTAAATCAACCCATAATCACATAATCACACCCCAAGAATTGGGGTTTTAGATAGACATCATAAAAAAGTAAAAACCATTACCAAATTGATTATCCATCAACTGGGTAAGGGTAGATTCGTCCTTACAATGCTCCAATTAAAAGAATCTCAAAGACCCACTTCCAATTTCTGAAAAGTGAAAAACTCCAATTCTTCAAAGCTCTAGAAAAACTACAGAAAACTGTCTCCAGATACTAAAAAGTTAATAAAAAATTGTTCTAAAGAGTACTTGATCTTAAACTAAATGTTCAGAAACGTATTTATAGTCGTAAAAAATATGCTGCAAAGAGTCACTCGATGAATTAAGTCGAGCTCGTCAAACCACTCAGCGAGCCACCCTGTGGTCTATTCCATCGCCCTCTTGCCTTGGTACTCAGCACCCTCTAAGTCTATATCTTTGGGCGATCTATCTTGGCTTTGCAAAATCACTCGGCGGCGATCCGTTGACTGCTCCTTTCCATCGCCAACTTGGTTCTTTCCTTCAAGGCTTGGCACATTGGAACTTTAGGTTGTCAAATAGCCATTCGGCGATTCGCCAAGTGAACTTGGCGATCACCAGGTTGCCTTTTTTTATCCTTTCAGCCTATTTTTTTCCTTTTTGCTTGTTAGTGTCCTTGCTTTGTTCCTCAATCCATATACCTGAAAATCAAGAGTTGTACATCAGTTATTGGCACAAATTAAGAATGTGAGGACACTAGTTCTATATTAAAAAATACCCTAAATGAGTCCAAATCTCATACTCATTAACGCGCTAGCTGTTGTGATCATGCATTTTGATAGAGATAGTATTTATGAGTATGATGCATTGGTTGCTGAACTTGATGTGTGTAAATTTTCCTTGTCGCCACCCAAAGAAGCTGTATTTGGAGTTGAGGTGTTGATATCAGTATTGAAGTGGTTCAAACGGGCTATAGGATGTGAGTGGGGTGACATATGGCATAGTATTGGGGCAAAGGTGAGAAAAGATTCTTTAACCCATATACTATGTGAGCAAAGCTTTGAATGTTGCTCAACAGAATTATACGGTCACTGAACATGAATTCCTTATTGTAGTCATTGCGTTTCAAAAGTTTATACCCTATTTTCTTGGCACTAGAGTCATTGTGCATATTGATCATTCGGCATTAAGGTATCTTATGGCAAAGAAGGATGCAAAATCGAGGCAGATTCAATGGGTGTTATTGTTGTAAGAGTCTGATTTTAAAGTGAAAGATAAAAAGAGGGAAAAACACAAGTGGTTGATCACTTTTCCAAATTGAAAGAAGAGGCAATGATGGAGTTAGGTGATGGACTTGAGATAGATGATACGTTCCCCGACGAACATGTATTGGCTTCTTCCTTTGATCTTATCCCCTTGTTCACAGATTTTGCTAACTATTTGGTGAGTGATTTGGTGCAAGAGATTTATCATTCCACGAAAGGAGGAAATTCATGTCTGATGTGAAGAAATTTTTCTAGGAAGAGTCTTATTTGTTTCATGTCTCTACTGATGGGACTATTTGTCGTTGTGTGATTGAGGTAGAGATGATGAGTATACGAGAATCTTGTCGTTCGTCTCATGTTTGTGGTCATCATAGTTGTATCTGGACTGCTCATAAATCTTTCAGTGTGGGTATTATTAGCCTACTATTCACAAAGATGCTCATAATTTTGTCAAGTCTTGTGATCGCTGCCAAGGAGAATGAGGTATTTCAAGAAAGCAAGAACTCTGAATGACTCCTACACTAGTGATTGAATTGTTTGATGTTCGGGGTCTTCACTTTATGGGTCCATTTGTGAGTTCGAATGGAATAAGTACATATTTGTTGAAGTTGACTATATTTGTAAATTAGTGGAACCTGTTGCGCTTTCATACAATGAAGGGAATAGTGTCATCGCAGACCTGAAAAAGAGTATTTTCTACAGATTTTGTACATCAAGGGAGATTATTAGCGATAGAGGTTCCCACTTTTGTAATAGGTTGTTGAAGGTGTTGCTTGAGAAGTATGGTGTTTGTTACAACATGGCAACTTATTATCATCCACAGTCTAGTGGGCAAGTCGAAGTGTCAAATAGAGATATTAAGAAGATCCTTGCAAAGACTGTAAATGTGAAGAGAGCTGACTTGTCAAGAAAGTTTGATGATGCTCTATAGACCTATCGCAATACTTTCAAGACTCCCATAGGTATTTCCCCTTACCAACTTGTTTTTGGGAAGTCTTGTGACTTCCCTGTAGAGTTAGAGCATAAAGCGATGTGGGGACTCAAGAAGATGGATTTAGATTGGGATGCCAAATCAAGTCAAAGATTGAATGAGTTGAATGAGCTCAATGAGTTTCACCTAAAAGCATATGAAAGCTCATCCTCGTAAAGGAGACGATTAAGAGGTACCATTATCAAACGATTAAAAATCATGTTTTTGTTCCCGGTGATTCGGTACTTCTATTTAATTCAAGGTTGCACTTGTTTCTTGTCAAGCTCAAATATATGTGTACGGGTCCATTCAAAGTGGTACAAGTGTTTTCACACGGAGCGGTTAACCATGAGAATGAGGAAGGAACTAGATTAAAAGAGAATGGCAAAAGCATCAAATTCTACTTGGGTCAACTGAAAGAGGTCAAAGAGGTGATGGTGAATAGGATCTTGATGTAGTCGGAGTAGTCAAGAGTTCAGCGTCATGCCGCGATGTTAAATCAAGCGCTACTTGGGAGGGAACCCAAGATGTAAGAGTCTAGCCAAGTTAGCAGATTTTTGGTTATTTTTATGATTTGAAATATAGTTTTTGTTTAGTTTGATATTTTAGTGAGTTTAGTCTTCACTAGATTAGGGTAGTATAGTGTCCGCGTCCAAAAAGATTCAAGAAAATGTAAAAAGGAAGTCTGAATGTTTGCTACATGTGTGCAGGAAAGTAATAGAATTCTGAAAACTAGAAGTGCAGGAGGTTCTACGGATCCCATAGATGAGCCATCGTTAAATAGATGGACCGTATATGGCATCCATAGAATCCAAGATTCAAACACAGTTGTCACTTTAAGTCTACGATTGCAGAGTATGGACCATCGTTCATTCAATGATCCGTAGTTTCCAATCATAGACCCGAGGTATGTTTCCTGAATTTTAGAAGTGTAGAGCGTAACAATGACACCCACCAATGGACCGTAGTTCTCACTACGAACCGTCGACGAGGAATGGTAAGTCCAAACAAGTGGATTGCACTGACTCGACCCGGAACCTTATTAAATAAAATCCTTCATTTAAATCTATTCCTCATTTCCCTTTTTCCATTACCGTTACAACTCCTTAATATAGTTACTCCTTCACATTTACACTCTTTCACATCCATTTCAAACCCCTCCAACTCCCACACTCCATTATATATTCCTCTTGTCCCCTCTTTCCTCCATATTTCTTCATTTCTCTCATTTTTCCCCAAAGCTTTTATCTTCTAAAATCAAACGTCGCAGGTTCAGAGTGTAGCAAGTTTTGGTTGTCAAGGCTAAGAGAACACACTCACACAAATTTGAATTTCTCTTCAAAGGTACTTCTTCTAAACCAAAATAATTAATTTTCTTTTAGTTGAAATCAAAAGTTGTTACTTGACCTTGGGTATAAATTGTTTATTAAATCTGATAATATTAGTTACAATGTACCCTTGGGATGAAAGTATAGTGAGTGTTGTTGAGTTTTCGTGTAAACATGTGGG